TCTCAAACATATATATACACACAGATCACAACACCATAAATGGTAAGAAACTGGACCTATTTAATTCTTTGGGTTAATGTTTATTTCAGATGTGCAAAAAGGTAAAGTAGAGAGGTAGTTTCATATTGTATTCAGAAGGCGTCTGTTCTTTATCATTTGAATAAATAATTAACACTGAGATATTAATATAATGTTGAAAATTACTGTAAATGAAGTATTTAATCAAGATTCAAATAGCTTTGTTTGAGTGCATAAGATGACATGATCATTTAAATAATTTTTAATAGTTCTGTTACTCGAAATTGTTACAAAATTTTGATGCAATAGATAGCCATTACGAAACTATTTATTTATTTAAAGATAATGTGGTAAAATGTACACAAATCATCGAAGATATTGGTAAAAACTGTATTATTTGTTTCGTAAGGTGTATTTCAATTTTATAACAGTTATTTTTAATTTTGAAACCCTTTCCTTTCAATTCTTGTTTCTCACTTACAACTCCCAGAATGAGTTTTTTTAAGATTCGCGTTGAATGCAAATGAGTTAGAAGATGTATTTAAAGGAAGTTCAACATACTTCAAGACAGGACCGGATTTAGATTTGACGAAATCTTAAGCTATTTGAGATATGGGACCCTTTATGAAGTATATGAGTCAATTTTTTATATGGGATATTCTATGATTTTTTAGGGAGGAAGGCAAGAAATTGGGGGCCCTAAGCTATCTATTTGTTCAGCTTATACGTAAATCCGGCATTGCTTCGAGAGAGAATGCTTAGGAGGCCTTAGTGGGGCGTGTTTGCCTTCTGACTACTTCGTTCTTGAATCTATTACGCTCGGCCGTATTGTACGTGAATGTTGAGAATCCCCGGGTACTTTAATTTAAAGGCCAACTACGTTAGATATTTGTGTCTAGCTTCGGCTAAGTCTATTTACATTAGATTATTTTAGACTATTTTCATTAGACATCTATTTGCATTAGATTAGTTTCTTATTTTCTTATGCTGATTTAAAAGCCCAAGTGGAGGCTTTCCTGTAAGCCCGAGAAGGGGGTCATCTGTTATTATTTCTTTCAGCGAATAAAAGGGAATTTTAACCCTTCTCACGTCTCTGATGTAACTATTGAAACTCAGCAGTAATTCGCTACGTAGTTCACTAGGTTCCTCGACGTTATATCTAGACAAAGTATCTAGGAACATTATAGCTTAAAACTCAACTTAAGAGTATTGAAAACTTGCACACGATGTGCTTTGCTTATTACCGATAAAAGATAACGGAATTTTTATATTATTATCTTACTCTTTTCTATAAAAGATAACTTTCGCGTGAAATTTGTATTGTCTAAATTATTGTTATTGTCATGTTTGTATTGTCTAAATTATTGTTATTGCTACATTGTTTACTTAATAAACATTTTTGCCATCTTCAAAACCTTTCAACTAAATTTGTCACGAGGTATATGTGTAATATTAAGTCTACGTATATAAATTTAAACATATTATATTGCCGGAGGTAAATGCTATTAAAGAGCAATGAATTTTATCTAATGTAAAGAATACAGTTTCACTTTTTAAACTAGGTGGTGAAATTTATGAACATGCTGTGATATGTTTCTCTGTCTGAGATTAAGGGATAAGTGACAAATATTTCCAGTCTATAACGGATTATGATGAATGCAGCGTTATGTTTTCTTTTCATATAATTCATATAATAAGTCTACAGTACCCTTTTAAGGCAACAACGTCTCAAAATGACCAGCATGTGTGAAAACATAAAACAAACATCAGTACTGACAATCATTTTAATATTATTATCGGAGTTAAACACGCCCTAACCCGACCCAAAGCATAAAGAACATACTAAGGCGACCGCCAAAATGTCTAATTTCGTTAGACTAAAATGTTTAAAGGGATTACGTTTCAAATTCTTACGATAGCAGCAAGTCATTTCTATAATTTCTGTTCGTGAATGAACGTTCAGTTTGAAGGGCGCCTGGACGTAGAATATCCTTATCCTTGTCGAAAGCTGCATCACTTTTCGAATACTGCGAGCATTGTTCTTGGATAGCAATTACAAGCTTATGATGATAGACATTTCAAAGTATGACGAAGTCCATTGTAGATGTTGAAGTTGAAGAAAGTCTGGCATTGGGAGGCTTCAAGAGCTTCGGTTCAGCTTTCAGAATTTTGGACTACGAATTTTATCCTTTTCCAGAGTGATGTAATTTATGATGCTGTTGAAAAGAATGAATGTAGATGGTCCTGCTCGGCAGTAGAATGCGTGTAATGTGGAAACGAAAAAAGGAGAGCCGCGTATTGGTTCATTGGGCAGTATAATTCTATGAAGGTTGGTCCACCTAATAATAGGACAAATGTAAATATATATATATATAAAGGATATAATAAATGCCTGATGCTTTGTATTCCTGTCAAGCCGCCAGGGTTTTAATGGTGTTTATGCTGGGTATATTAGGTGGCTTTGATACAGCTCTTAAAAATAACTAGCGGGCAAGCCCGCCCGCTTATCATTGTTCGTTTTTAAAAGAATTCCCATGTTAAAATTCGCCGGTATTCGAAAGTTGGATCAAAATACCAGTGTTCAGCGATTTTACCTTTGCTGCACCCGCTTTATTAACGTATGCATTTTGATACAGCTCTCAAAAATAATTCATCATGTTTCTAAACTACATATTAATTTCGTCATTTCTTAGTTGTGCAGATGATAACGTATAACAAATTAATGTTCGAGTTGCGTCAAAACGATTCATCTAAGTTTTGACAATATTGTGATCGGCTGTGTTTATTTCAAAACTGATAGCTCAGTATACGCGTGTGTGTGATGTTTCATTTTAAATTTCATAAATATTTATCAAAGATGTCTGCAAAATAAAATATAAAAGAATTAAATTTAAATGCGAGTAAAAGCTATTAAAGATGTTGTTGGTGGTCAATCGCAGACGAAGCTGGCCAAAAAAATACTAGAATATTGGCAAATGTTTGTGAAATTACTAAACAAAATTTATAACGCAAGATCTCTTATAGTTTTTTTTATTTATTTGTTATATACTCTAAATTATCTAAATGGTTAAAACAATTAAGTAGTAATTTAGAAAATTATAAAATGATTGAGTTCTTTTATCATGTTCTGTTTCAGAGAAAGAAGTGATTATTTGAAAGTGAAAATTAATCCCGCAGATTTTTAATTAGAGAGATATTTTAATAAGAAATGAGTAATTTAGAAATTACTAAGTAAAACTTAAATTGTTTTGTAATATTATCGCGTTTTACACGTAGGATCTAACAAATTTTAAAATTTTATTAAGTGCTTAAAGACGTCAGGAATTTTTTAAAGCATTTTTTTCTATTATTCGCAATCAATCGATAATTTTGCTAATATAATGTTATTAATAAATCAATATACTTTACTTTTACTTTTTTTAAATTTAACATATAGCTTTCAGTTTATCAGGGTAAACCCAGTATGTAAATCAATAGTCATCGTTACCGATAGTCATTCCAACTAAGACTATCACAGAAGAGCAAAATTGTCTGAAACAGTGGATTATAGTGTTAGAGAGGATTCATTCCATTCATTCATTATTAATGTCATATTTCATAATATTATGAGATTTTGTTATTACTATGGTATTCAAAATCTATGGACTCATGCTGTAATGATTAAATTTTAAATGATAAAAAAATATGTATGAATATTAGGGTGTATTTCTATTATTAATCTGTTAAGCTTTCTCTAAATTAAAATGTGTGATTAAGACTATTATATTCAGATCAGCCAATGTATTATATATGATAAATATTCAGCCAGCATCTTTGTAATACTTTGTGATTGTACGTGAGGTGTTAATTCTTCATAAGAAACAAGTTTATTCACTGCTAACATTAAAATACTGAACACACTAAACACACAGTACATCTCTTGCGCATTCGAGGATAGGAGGTAGAGATTTGGAATCTCGAAACGTATTTCTGTTTGACAGAGTGACACAATGGCAGAGTTTATTACTGATATCTGCTCTAGAAATAACAATATTTTGGATTATATTAAGGAAGATCATAACTCATCAGCAAAATTACTTCAGCAAATGCTAATACGAAATACAGTCAAAGTGTGAACAATTCAAAACATTAAAGTCAAGTCTGAATATAGTCGAGTCTCATTATAAATAAGAATGCTATGCATGTACCTTTTTCGTGGATTTTACAGACATTGTTTATGTGCATATAATTTTTATTAATTCAGGTTTTAAATACTAGTCAGTAAAACAGTATACATGGTATAAAAGTAGAAAAATAAAATTTTTGGGATAAAATTATTTTTTTAATTTGATAGACAAACGCTTTATTTCTCAAAGAATAAAATATTTGTGTGTGTTTATTTTTTTAGCAAAGTGTTTATTTTTCAACAAATAATTGTAACTAAATTAGGTTAGAAAATTAATTGGCAATAAAGTGTTAAATTAGAAATTCAAATTTCCTTGTAAAGGATATTGATGAAGGCATTAGAATTTTTCGCCGTGAATGTTTCTGTAGTATGCCTTTTCTGAAATATAATGTTTAAGACCAACAATTTAGATATTAATGAACAAAATGCTTGTGGTTATAAATACTAAATATACCTATTTACATACTTATTATAACGTAATTATACTATACATATAAGATAAAAAATCTCATTTAAACATTTAAAACTAAATATATTTGGACCTTCAGGTTCCGCGAATAATTTTAAAAATTAATTTTACAGTATTCAAAAATGCTTAGCCATAGAAATATGTTTATTAGGCAATATTTTACTTATTGTTATTTTCTATTCACACAACGCATTGTACATAAATGTCCAGAAAGAAGAGATTCATCATATATTTTTGTATAACTTAAACATTTATTAATCATAAACAATAATTAATCATAAATATTTTTTTTGAGAAATATAAATGCAAGAAGTTAATTAAATAAAATCAATGCCAATCTTTAAAAGAAAATTCAGTAAAATTAAATCAGCAATCAGAAAAATCATTAAATTTATTTTAATGTTAATTAATAAGATTATTGATTAACTTGAAATTAACATGAAAAACACTTGAAATTTTATTATTTACAACAGAATTAGTGACTAAATGCTTTTAACAGAAAAAGCAAAATAGGTATGAGAAAATAAGAGAAAACTATCCAATGTATTCGTACATTTGTGATGAAAGGGAAATATCCGAAGTACATATAACAAGACTCGACTGTATACAGCAAGACAAAAAGTACTTTAGAACACCAATTCAAAAAAATATATATATATATAAATATAGCAAATGACTGAGTAAGTACAAATTTGATAGTAACATTATTTTTCACTGCATGTATCATCACATTACTTGCTGCATCGCGGAAATGATAGGAACTTCGTTCCTTTTACCTTTCCATTTCCGCGAAATCTTACAATTTCATTCAGCTTATAATCTTTAAATACTAAATTTTAATCATACTTCTTCATAAGAGAAAATTTAAAACTACTATAGAATAAGGAGAGCTAGCAGTGTTCAGCGACTTTACCGCTCGGCCGCCGGCGAGCGCCATTTCTTTTGAAGAAAATGAATAGCTGAATGATATCTACTTGATAGACATTCTTCAAATGATAGTTTACAAGAGAATGTTTTCGCTATGATGCCAGAAATATAACAGAGTAATGTGATGATATTTATAATTTACCTATCTGGAACTAACATATTATGTTTGCTAACATTTCCAGGTGCAAGTATCTACCACTGGAAATTTTAAATTCTTTGTGAACATTAACCGACTCGCGACTTCAAGAGTTCATATCTAACTATTGGTCACTAAAGTACACATTTGTCTTTTTACTAGGGACACATACATTATAACAACACATAATTTAATACATTTTTCAGTTTGCAAATGAAACAGTGCACATGAAAGTCTGTATAAACTGTCTTAGTTTCAAATAAAAATCTTATGTATATCTCTTGAAAGAAATCAGGTCCTGTAAGACAACCCTGAGTAATATTCGACCAATGCTAAAAATACATGACCGGGATCAAAGTATAATAATATTCACACAATAAGAATGAGTTAGTGTGCTGATGACAATATTTGAACTGGCAAATGTATTTACAAAAACAAGTCAGTTGATTGCCTTAAACATTCTTCATCACCATTGAAATCTTTCGCACAAAAAAGGCAAACTTTTCCGACGATGCCTCATTTTTCACTTGTTGGTCTGTTGTGTGAGGAGTTGAAGCAATGTATCGTGGTCCATGTCGTTGAGAGTAACTAAGTCTATACCAAGGGCATTCGCCACGCTGCTCATATCTAATCCGAAAGACTTCAGCAGTTCGATGAAATCCAGTTCCTCTCCAGTGAAGGGGTCATGCAGTCTCGGGCAAGCTCTGTTGCACTGAGGCCAAGTGCACTCATCCACCAGCCAGTGATAGCACAGGTCCTCATGTAGGGTCCACCGATGCCGCACCCGCATGTCTTCAGGAAAGAGAGTACGTTTGTCACGGCTCCTTGCTGAACAAAGATGGGATAGAGGCCGTTTGCACATACAGAGGGGATTTGCTTAGCAGAATTTTAAGGAAAAGGGGCAGCTGAGCCAAGAAAACATGGAGATAATGACTTGCATATTTCTATCGATTAAAAAAGAGCAAAACAAATAATAATAATAATAATAATCAATTAACTGGGGAAGCTTCTGCATATTATTTCATTGATTTAGATGGCAAAACGCACGACGAGGATTTGAAAGCTTAATATCTAGTCAGATTCTAGTTGTAAAATTGGCCAATCACTAAGATTCCCAGTTAATGGCTCTCTGTAAGGAGAGTCTGTTTGAGAGGTTGCATGTGCCCACAATATTGGTTTCATAAAAAATTATAAATATTATTTCAAACATAATATTTCTCCATGATTTGTTTCTTAGCCTTAAAATTATATATAACTTTCCGATGAAGTGTGTAGGCAACTGAGAGAATTAATGACAAACGTCAGAATATGAAGCAAGAGAAGTTGTTTAAGAAGAGGAATAGACATCAACCGTATAGTAGCTTGTACGAATACAACAAATATTGAGTTATTGGTGTTGAAGAGCAGATGAAGAAGAATATAAGACATTTCCCCAGAAATTCAGTTTTCTTGGAACCATAGATAATATTATTGCATATGAGCTTTGAAATGAAATAAATTAGTACATTGTAGGTGATCAAATTGTGATGGATGAACATAAAAAAATTCCTCTATGAAATTTTTCTGAAGGCTCCTCCGGCTCAAGAAAGAAGGTATCGCGTATTTGAAAATTAGACGCGATATATTTTATCCCCTCAAAGGAACGTTAATGAAAACGTTTTGTCCTATTTGCATTAAGAGAAAGACAGTTCTTATTTTTCTGAAAATTCGTAGCTGAGTTTCTTTGATACAATAGTTCTCCTCGAGCTTACGTAGTCACAATTAATATGATCTGGAGCAATTGTTAACACTACTTATGATTTCGTTATTAAAAAATGCATTTCACTGGAAGAGGGATATTATTTTTTCTCCAAATAAAACAAGCCTACGCACCACTTGTGAAATCCAAGAATTTTTTCAAACTTTTCGGGACACCACACTTAAAAGCCAAATTTTCGCCTCTATAATATCTTTAACTTATTTGGGCTATTGCACAAGCATAGATGATGACACCCTTAAAGAATGAGACCATCTTCTTGATTTATTAGGCAAATTGGTATGTGTGAGTATCGTTAAATCAAGCGTTATGTTATGCGTCTGTTATGTTAGCGGAAGGATCAGGTAAATAGACAAGAGTCTTATGTTAGAAAGCTAGTTGAGGATATGCACCTATTAAACAATACTATTATTTTATTTTTCTAGTTATTTATATAAAGAATTTGCTAAATGCAAGAAACCTCGGTTTTCGACCAGGTCTTCTATTAAAATATATCGAAAATACAATTTATTCTGAAGTACCTAAATTTAATACGCTACTTTGTGATTCTAACTGCGACGAGTTTCAGATCTCAGTCATTATCTCCATTTTAACTTGAGCAGTAGGCAACAAATAAAGGGGGGACATTTATTCACACAAACTGTACAAAGCAAGGAAGCAAGTATTTATACCGCAGAGTGATTATATTCCTCTATGCAATGTGCAATGTCATGCAAGCTTCAGAAAACAATTCACACTTCAGGCTCACTTTTAAAACTTTACATTGGTAAATTTTAAAGAGTGTGAAACTTGTCTATCTAAAGTTTAAAAGATGTGTCTGAAGTACGGAATGTATCATAAGAAATCTTATGTTCTACTTACAGTGTCATGTGTTATCTCATATACATATAAATCCTATTTTTTCAAGAGCATCCTACATCAAACGAATTCATGTTTCCACCTCAGAATTTCGTTTAGTATGTGAACAGCCTAAATTTGGAATTCGGAATTTGTTTTATTATCTGCTTCATATTTTGCAAAACTTTAACAATTTTTGATTAACAAACTCAACGATTTCAAAGTGAGCAATGGCAACACTGTACATTTTTGTTTTTTTTAACCTCCAGTACGTTAGACTCTGTATCGAAAATTCTAAAGATATGCTCATTTTAAAATCATTTTGCGATATTGCTGTTCAACTGAATTTTATGGTTTAAGTGCGAAGAACATGATATTTAACGCATGAAGGTAAACACAAAACGTTTAAAAAAAAAAAAAGCTCCTTTGGGCGTAATATAAAATTTGAAAGCTTTCAGATTTTTTTTTTCTTTTCCCCCCTTTTTTGGGTTGTTGCTTTTATTAATCTTTAAAGTTAAGTTGCTAAGTTCTTACGGCAACTTTCTGATGACCGCAGCAGTTCTTTACAACAGTAGTGACAAACTGGCAGTTTTATGCGCACCTCTCGAATATAATTCAATTACGTATTTTTTGAAATTATGGTGTTGTAAATATTTCAAAATTTTAGTTACTTGATGTCCGAGTTTACATTATTTTCACTAAAATGAAAAAGAACGTGAATAAAATACCAAAAAATTTATAAACAGAAATATTTAATTTACAGTGAGATATAAATAAACTTTTAGTTATGCGCCGAAGAAAAATTTAATAAGAGACTAGGTTGTCATTATTTATCCTCAAGTTTTGTCAAGCTTGGAAATTTTTGAAAATTTTCATAATCGGTTTACCTTTTGTTTCAATTACTAAAGTAAGCTATTTAATGATGAAAGAAACAGGTTAGAAAAATTTTAAATCAATGCCAATCTGAAAATTTAATATTTAGCTACCAAATATGTAGTAACAATATGTAACAACGAAAACGTCTTGCATTTACCAAAATTCACATATCAAATAGAAAACGAATATAAATTTGAATTTCTTCCTTTGCGATATAATTGTTACTACATGTATTCATTTTGATAAATATTTAGTAATATAAATTTAATATTTATTTAAAATATTCTTTATTTTAGTAATATAAAACATTTATTTTGTTTAAAACAACATTCGGCCTGTTTTTAAATCGTGCCTTCGGCATAAAAATTGAGCTTGAGACTACTGCTTTACAGAATCTGACAATGGCATCAAGAAAAATCAGGTCCAATCCTGTTTTCACCTTTTGTTTTAACTTAGGTTATGGAAGAGAACAGATTCTCGACTACGGCGTTACTAAGAGAGATTACTAAGCGAAAGACAAAATGGCGGAAAATACTTTTCACTGCCGATTTGTGTACTTTGCCAATTTGTGTACTGCGATTTTCTTAAAGATATAATTCAGAGATGAGAAACAAAGTGGCTTCTAAATTCTGATTCTGTTTTACAACTGCTGTTTCAAAAACAAATATTTAGGCGAATGTGATTTTTATGCAAATAATTTCAGAATGCCAAAAATCTAAATGAACTAACTCTTGGTGCCATCTAAATTATAATAAAGCCATTTTTATGAAGTTTATATTTTAAAAAGCAAATTTTTAGTCTTTTGCCGAAAACAAATCTATAAATTTAATATCAAAATGAAGAAATAAAAATCTTATATTATAGATGATTATCATAATTTACATTGTGATTTTCTGATAGTTTTCACGTCTTTATGAGAATTAAGAAACTGTGTTCATTAAATATTTTGTATATTCGACAGAAGTAAATTGTTCATTGCAGTCATAAATGTATTAAAATGTATATAATACATTATTCGTTGAATCCAGTTTTCGGAAACATGCATGAAACTGAAATATTTAATGAAAATCACCCTGCGCGATCAGCCAACAGTACGTTTTTTCGCAATTAAAAGCCAATGCAGTGATAACACTTTTTTTTTTTTTTTGACACAAATAGCAAATAAGACAAAAGAAAAAGGTGTAAACATGGATATAAAAACAGCGCATAATTATATAAAGAAACACAGATTTCGACAGCTGCATAATAAAGCGGTTCTTTTTTTCACTCTCATGCTACTATAATAAGAAAATTATACTAAAAGAATTTAGGAGAATTATGCATTGTTTTAAACAGTTTCTTCGGGTTGTTTTTTGTGATCATTATTTGATTTCGTCTTTTAAATTTACGACTTAAGGAGAATAAATAGAATTTTCTCATCTCATATTGATGAAAATCGTCTCCAAATTATCATAGATTATTTTCATGATTTAATCTGGTTGAGCTAAAATTATCTCGTAAGTACTGCCTGATATCACTATCGTAGTAATTTCTATAGGTAGTGTTTATGAATATAAAAAAGATATAGAATGATGTGTCATTAACTTGGTACATGCTTTGCGATTCATTGTTAAGAAATGTAGAAGCATGTGCATTCATTTTATTTCATTTTCATACGTTTAATAGAAATTATACATACAATGTAACTTATTTTCATTATGCTTAACTGCTTGTTAAAATGTATAGGAATTTAATATAAATTATTACCAAAGATAATAAAAGTTTTAAAATGTACTAAAGTAAGCAAAATTAAAGGAGTTTCTATGTTCAAATTAGTAATAGTTAATTCTCCACCATTAATTTAAAATTTCTTAAAACTGAAGAATCGAAGAATTTTGTAAACGAATTTCATACTGCTGAAAGGGAATTGATGGGTACAGGACGAACGAGAACTAATCATACTCTGTATTCTAATTTCCTCGACTTTTTTTTCTCTTCGAAGGAAGTAAATATTTCCGATTCCGCTCGGATATATGATCACGTCCTACATAAATTCTCAAAATTTCTTTCATTGATTTCATTAAGATATCTGCTCAGTTTGTAGGCTATTTATAAAGAAATCAGAAGTTATAATATTCATTTAAATTCTCACTAAGTTTTCTCATTAATTACTGCTCCTAATCTTTATATAAAGTAGTTCTTTAAGCTATTTGGATGTTCAAAATTATTTCAAAAGCTTATGAGTGAACTTTGCATTAAGAAAATTCTTTCTGTTATAGTATATTTAGAATTGAAGTGAAGTAGCACAAGGTATCAATATCATGTGCAGATATTATAAATTGTGCACACTTATCCTCAGTACAAGAACAATAAACACAGAAATGGTAAAACTTGCCGGATTAAGCTAAATTGATGAGTCAGATAATTGAAGCCAGGAGGATAGGTGCTAGTTTTTCAAAAAATGAGAACTTATTAATTGCTTCTTAACCTATATGTATCAGGATCAGATATAAGCTCTTGATTCAATTAACTGTGGGCATTATATTACTCTCCAAAAAAGAATACATATCAGTCTGATATACGGAGATAGCAAAAGTGAGCTTCGAAAATAGCCATTGTTATCTCAGCAATGCACTGCATTAGTCATGCATCTGAGGGTTAACCAGTTGCAAAGGTGATGTGCGTCCAGGGAACAATGATGCACAGATAGGTAAACCATAAGATTATTAACTAAATATTCCTAATGCAAAGCACATTTCGGGGCATCTAAGACACATTTAGGAGGCTATAAAGTTTTAATAAGATTAAATCTACTTAACTCTTAAAATAATAATTTTCATAAAGTTTCAAAGACTACCTCCTGTAGTTAAATCATTTAATTAATAATTTAATAAGAATTAGACTAAAGGTTCAGAAATAGACCCATACTCTGCGACAGTGTAACTTAAGCAACAAATGCATCTACAATCTCATGCTCACTACCGTAAATAAATTTTGCTTACATAAATATGAAGAATACTTACATTCTTTTCGACTGTTTTTCTTTCTTTTTTTATTTTTGTTCTGACGTCTTCTCTTCCTCTCTTTCCTCCTCAGTTTCCTTCTCTCTTCCTTATCTTGAACCAATTCACTAGAATCCATATCGTCTCGATTCTCTGTGCAATTATAATCCGATTTCTTTCTTCCAATCCTCAGACTAGCAGTAGGCATATCGCCTGCCATACTACTCGGGCTGTGAATAACATTTTAAACAATTTTTATTAGAAATATAATAAGAATAATACTTCTCATAAAAGAGGATAGTTTTTCAGTAGTTTAATATTATCATTTAATGGTAATTTCAAATCTTAAAAAGTTACACTACCCGTAGGGGGGTACACTACCCGTTTTGAGTCTATAGTCGTCGTCATCATAGTCGTTGTTATTATAGTCGTCACTATCGTCATCCTAGTCCATAATCATTAATAGGTTATTGTCTATAGAAGTTGTCAATAGCAGTTTTCATATCAGAAGAGTCAATAAAAGCAGAATCGGTGAAAACAATTGTAGACTTCTCAAGAAGACTTCTCTCTGCGGGAATTCTCTTATGAAGGTCGGAATCCAGCCTAATGCCACCATTCAGAGAAAAAACCCGCCCTATTCGCCGCAAGTCTGTAGTGCATCGCATTGCATCTTCAGCAGACATTCGAGTGTTTGTTGGCACTAGAGTGACACAACGAACTCTAACAAATCGATTACTCGAGAAACAGTTCCGAGTCAGATGCCTTATAGCGGCCATACCCCTAACTTCAAATCAAAACCAGTTGTGACTTCAGTGGCGTCAAGCTAGAGCTCATTGGAGGACGGAGTGGAGATATGTAGCGTTCTCAGGTGACAGCCGCTTCTGTTTTGGTGCCAGTGATGGCCGTATGTTGGCTAGAAGGCGGCTAGAGGACCGCTTGGAACCAAGCTGTCTCCGACATAGAAGCGCTGAACTTACACCAGGAATTAGGTCTGAAAGACAATTTTCTCTGACACCAGGAGCATTCTCGTCGTTAGCATCGACACCAGGAGCATCTTACATACCTTAACAGCCATTTTGTACGTCAGACTGCTGACTGTACCTTTTGCACTGCCATTTGATTGACTATTTGCAACAGGCATGGAATTCCATCCCACATAATGATATACACGGCACCTGTAAGACATAATGCATGGGCGTTTGCTTGCTTGCATTCAACATTAAGGCGACTACGGCGGTTATTAATGAAACACTATTTTACAGTTGAAATGGCTCTTCTCGCCCGCTCTCTAGCTTGTCACTTTGAAAAATTAGTCAAATTAATATGTTACCTAGACAAAAGCTTTCCCTACATCTCCTTTCTCTAAATTGATTTGGTTTGGTGTTGGGATTTCCTTTTCCATCAGTTGTATGTTACACAGGTGAAATATTCAGCACGAAATCTTTTCCGCATTGACTGAAATCGGCAGATTTTATGATTATATCCCACGTACACACACACACACACACACACACAAAAAAAAAAAAAAAAAAAAAGGGGGGGGGAGAGAAAACAATTGTCTTACTCAAGATTCAAGAATATGGCCACTGATATCACAGTCGCTTCCGCTAAACACTATGTCTTCTGAATGACACAAAAACGCATTTCGTAATTAATAAGAATCTATTCATTTTTTAACCCTTTAAGCGCCATGACCGGCTTTATCTGATCTTGAGATACAGGTGTTCATGACATACAGGTATATCGATTATCCGATCATAAAAATATAGGTCTTCATGACATACAAAACCTCGGGCCGTTCAGAGGGTTTTAATAAAGCTATTATTTTTTTAAAGCCCTGAAGCTTGGTGTTTATGATAATTAACTCCGGAAGTGTCATGGTCTGGGCCTTGGTTGCTGTCTGAAGCCTGAATAAAGAATCTTCTCTGGGATGGCCAAGAATCTACTAACTGATTTACTCGAAGATTTAACCATATACAAATTTAACCAGATATTCAAAGCTTTAACACCTTTTAACGTCTGCTTTACCAATAAAACCTTCAGAATTTGACCTTGTCCAATTTGAAATGACCATAGCAGAAAGGATTAAACTTTTAATTGCTTTATAAATCTGGTAAATCTTTCCCACTACCGGTGATCCAGTACCTAAATCCGCAGTGAACTCTTATAAATTTGGTATTGTCAAAGGACATAGTACCTCTTTAGCAGGGTCTTTCCAATGTGGTTAGAGTTAAACACATAAGTGGCATAATAAAATTTAAAGCGGAACTAGGAAATCTAGGAACTCACCTCGTGGCGTCGTGAGGCAAAGAATCAGCTTCCAGCGGGTCGTACAGATGATGGTGAGGATGGTGATGATGATGATTATGCTCATGAGCTTGCAGCTCCCAACATCGAAGGGCTTGGGGAAGAGAAACTTTATTGATTTTTACATGACGCCAATCTCTGAAACAACCACAAATTAAAATTAAAGTACATGAATGCGTTTTCAGTATTACTAATTCCAACGCAAAATGTGAAATTCCGTGACAAATATCTTTCCATCAATTAAAAATTTCAAAACAAAATTTATAAATTAATTATCTAAAATGTGGCTTACTTTTTAGACAAAACCATATGTGATATACAAGAAGGGGCAAATACAGCGCTAGAAGGAAGAAAAATATTAAAATTTAAAATAGTGTAAACAATTTTTTACAAACACAAATCTTGATCCTGACGTTAAATAAAATAATATTAAAAAAGGTATTCTTAAAAGAACAAAGAGTCAAATATTAAAGAGTAAACACAGAATGATTGCATTTGAGATTACTGACTTGAAGAAGGTATTATTTTGAAGCTTAAAACCCGGATGCAAAAAGTGAAAGGAGATTATATAAAGGCTGTTCGCACATTTTTTAGACTATTTTGCTTTCCTATAAAAAACATCGTCTACTCGGAAATTCTTTATATTTTTGACAGTATAAATTATCGTCTGCTACTTGACAATTTTGTTTTCATGAAATATGAAGCTTTTAAAAGAAGCAATGCATGGAAGGCTATGTTTTTGCTTTTCCCGAAGAAAATTATTCGTATCTAGTTATCAAAAAACGCTATGAAAGCTATGGTTTTTCAATATCTAAAGACACGATAGGTAATATTGTCAAAAAGAAAGGGAAAAGAAACGTCAAAGTTTGGCTTCAAGTGGGAAAATTGTTCAAAACACTATCAAAGGGAATATTTCAAATGGTAAGAACTTTAATGTTAAAAGAAAATCTTCGAAATCAAAGGAGAGCTGCAAATTAAAATACTCAGTGTTAACTATAAACAAAGTGATTAATGCTAATTTGAATTTAAAAAGTCGGAAAAAAACATAATACGCAACGTCTTTCACCATGACATAACGCCAAATGCGATACAGAATTCTTTTATGAGAAACACTTATCCAGACAAAAATGGAAAAATGTTGACAACAAAAGATGAAATTTGGATGAATTTAAATGGCTGCAATGAAAATAGCAGATCCATTTATTATGCAATCAAAGAGAAGAAAAAGGTTTTAAAACATGGTTCAAAGAAACTAATAAAAGTTTTCAAAAGGGATTTATGACTGCTGCTAAAATATGAAATACCTTCTCTTTACCCACAATGTCATACGTGTATCTATGCCATACCCTTCACTCATATCCCTACGGAATCTTCCGATGTATCAGCCATGGATCTTTGCGCTTTTGGACTTTTAAAAAGCAGATTGTTCAAACGTCGACCTACAAACTTCCTTGGACTTTGGAAAGCTGTTTAAGAAGAATGGGACAAAGTACCTCTTCCGATACTACAAAAAGCTTTATTGTCTTGCAAATTACGGTGTATAAAGATAATGAAAAATAAGGTTATCCAACAGAACATTTAAAACACAAAAACTTTAGGTAAAATATTGATTTAAATACAATGAAAATCGTCTTAAAAATGTGTGAATAGCATCTGTATATACAAATAATTTACTGCTACTATTTCTAAGGCATTGCAAGGAAGCCTCTTACGTGCGTTAGATATTAAGATGGCTTTAGAATGCTGCAATTTCTGAACAGCTACTTCTGCCCAAAACTCAGATTTAGCTTTGATGTTATATTTCTCTATAGTGCAAGACGTTTTATTGTAATTAAGACTTAATCGCTTTAAGAAACCGAAAAATGGACATACATACATGTATAATTTTATCATTAATAAAAGAACTGGAGAATTCATCAATGGGAAGTTATAAAATTAAGGTATTTGTAAAGCAAATATTTTTTTAATTATAAGAATTTTGTTTTCCAGTTTATATTTTACAATAAAATAAAGCCTAAAACAGCTTGGTAAAAAAAAGGCACGCATTTATTATTATTTTATTTCTTAGCATAAAACTAAGTACAGTAATATTTACAGACGCGCGAGTACACCAGTAACACGAAAAGAAACCAATATATCTATGACATGTAAATTTCTTAATGATTCTGATATTCTATAGTCAATGGATTATTCTTAATATCATTTTAGCAAAATTACAGCTACAGCGTCTAGAAGACAATACCAGTGACAATTGGTGTATTACCTGAATTTAACCCCTGAATAAACTAACGAGTCAAAAAAAAAATGTCATGAAGTCAAAAACTAATAAATGTTTCATGTGTTTGAAGAGACGCAGAACTATGCTTAGATACAGCCTGCTCTTCTTCAAACATATATTTAAATTTTAGCTGCACAATTTCAAATCATTTCAACTATCTGAAGAACTAGCGGTATGCGTTTTATCACCTTCATACTTCTTGGCATGGTACTTTTAGCAACATCATTTTAATAAAACTGAGGATCTTATTTTTTATCCTTTTGTCTTTGAAAATGAAGGACAATCATTCTACTACGGTGAAAATCTCTGGGGTCATTTTCACTAATTTTAATGTGTTTTCCGATATTTTGCACATACCAAGTTTTTCTGCTTACATCACCAAAATTCGACAATTTCAGGATTTTTACTATCTTTCTTTTAAATTTATTTTGTAATTGTTAGTTATTTTTATAGCTAAGTAATTTCAGTACCGTCTTTGTTAGAATTCATGCAAAAAATGCACTGAAAATTAGTAGTAGAAGTAACGGAGGACGTGGCCATCATCCCTCTACCATTACTGTTAATTGGTTCTGCCCACGTCCGCCTTTGTCTAGTATTTATTATTAATCCTTGAATTTTTACATGACCATATCGTGGCTGGTTTATAGATAAATTCTATACAATTATTGTATTCATATTAACATCAGCTTTGCACTGAAAATTAATCGCTCTCAAAATTCAAGCAAGAGCTTTGAAACTTGAGTTAAACAAGGTTTAGGTGATTCAAGAATCCATGTGTTGGCGCTACATTATTTGCAGTACTGCTGTTGATGAAATATCGAATCAGCAACTGACTTTCTATCATATGTTGTCTGGGTTTTTAGAGAGGAACAGCATCTAGTAGAATAATTTTTATCAAATTTTTAATATTGATAGTTAAATTAGTGCCTCTGAAGGATGTAAGCAGCATAGCAATGGAATGTCTCATGGGAGGAAAAATTGACTACTTTGCTGGAGCTGTAATATACTAATAGATTTTCAAGAAATAGAAGTTATAAAAAGCATTTTGGGAGAAAGTTGCGTTTTAAATAAATAAATGATAATAACGAAAACTTTGAATATCGAACTGTAATGCAAAAACAGTAGACGCAGCTTAATGGTGATTGTGGTTAATATTATCATTCGGCTGTTGACGACGTCCGACGTCGTCGCAAAGCATGCTTAAAAAAAAGGTCTTTCAGCATTATTTGGCGCTTTTTATGTAATTTCGATATTAAAAGACCCTAATTGAAACTTATATGTAAATATCGCTAGGAGATAAATTTCGGCCGCTCAAGTTTTTAAAATTTTCCTCAAATCTCTTATTGCCATTAGCTACCACTTGCCCTGTGATCTGAGTTTAACGTGTCAGATACTGACCAAGATTTGCTCTTTCAAGAATGTTATATTAGAATGGTTGTGGAACAATAAGTCACAGCATAGTAGATGCTCTTCCGTAATTCCTTGAAAATGAAATTACAAAATGAAATTAATGCAAATGAAATTATAATTGTAAATGTATTAAAAATTAAACAATGGGTATTTTAAAAATCGAAACACTTGTGAAATATATTAAAACTTATTATATAATAAAACTGTGATTCAATTTTGTCATTTCTTTTACGTACGAGTTTAATTTGTGAGATGATGTGGACAAAACCGTCAAATAGATTACACTTGCGTCACATGAAGACATTCAGTATGCTTTTAAAGTTTTATTTTTCCCTTCTATTAATAATTGGTTTTTCTCCCCTAAGGTAAGGGAGAAAATGTTTGTACACTTTACCCTGATTAAGTCGTATAGTGAGATATTACCCCCCCCAAAAAAAAATAGTACGTAGGTTGATCCCGCCAAAAAAAGTTTACAAGCAGAAGCATTTGAAACGTAATAATTGTGGAGCAAATATTTCCACCCAGGGTGGTTGACAGATGGCGCTAGTTGTCCTACAGCGGTTCTACGAGTAAGCAGCGTCAGTACGCAGACACTTACGAGCGACGTACAGGCCCCCCCCCCCCCCCCCCCCCCCCCCCCCCCACCCCCCCCCCCCACCCCCCCCCCCCCCCCCCCCCCCCCCCCCCCCCCCCCCCCCCCCCCCCCCCCTAATGGCGCGACGACTAGAAAAGTGTTCTCGCATAGAGGTGCGAGCCGTAATTCGATTCTTATGGGCCAAGAATGTAGCCGCATCCGAAACTCACAGACAAATCGTTGATGTATACGGGGACAAAGCAATGAGTAGACAACAAGTAGCGAAATGGTGTCGTTCTTATCAAGCGGGCAGGGAGCATGTGGAAAACCGCAATATGGAAGCGAGCGGCCGTCCATTTTCTTCAAGGACGGATATCAACACGGCACGTGTTGAAAAAATCATAAAGTAATGGCAACCGTTTTCTGGGATACGACTGGTGTTATCTTAATCGAGTATTTGGAGCGTGGCCATACCATTAAGGCCGATCGTTATTGTGCCACCTTAACGAAATTGCGTAATGCCATCTGACGCAAAGAGCCTGGATTACTGAGCAAAGGCGTCATTCTTCTGCATGACAATGCCAGCCCCATACAGCTCGCCAGATTCAGGAATTGCTGCAAAGGTTCAAGTGGGAGGTCTGGAATCACCCCCCCCCATACAGCCCCGATTTGGCTCCAAGTGACTATTTAATTTTTCCGGCGTTGAAGCGATATTTATCCGGAACACGGTTCACCTCAGACGAAGCAGTGAAAACAGCTGCCGAGAAATGGCTCAATGAGCAGGGCCCTGATTACTACCAAGACGGGATAAACAAGTTGGTCGAACGTTCTGACAAATGCCTAAACAGGTTTGGCGACTATGTGGAAAAGTGAAGGCCAGATGTGTCTCTTGATTCCCATTTGTATCTTGTTTCTATTGTTAATAAATACTTTTTCATTTGCCTTGTAAACTTTTTGGATCACCCTTCGTATATCAGCTTTGTCTTAGCATACAATCTAAAAATAATTTGAAGCGCACCGGAAAAGGGGCTAGATGGAAAATGCTTCAGCAGTATCAGTTGATGACAGTTGCAAAATTCGTGAGTTTTCTATGATGTTAAACTGTATTTTACCCAACATCAAATTAGAGGTAAAAATGGTGGAGTCCAGGATGGTAAAAAGATACCCGTTGCAGCTCAAGAAAGTAATTTCTCATCAAATTGAAGATTATAGTTGAATCAGGATATCCACTAAGAAAGAGGGAAACTAGAAAGTGTTGCTGATTTTGAGACCAAGTGACTTAAAAGAATACCATATGTGGTCACCGCTAGCTCAAGAAACTTATCGATAGCTAATAATAAATTAATTCGATAAGATGTGTCAAGAATCTTAACACATCTTATCGAATTAGTTTAAAGAAACCTGAACTTCCTTCGGAATGAAAGCAGAAGGTTTTAGCCAAAGGTCAGCTCCAAGTTTATGAATTGCGCATACGAAGATTAAGCATATCATGACCTTTTGAATCTCCATTACAAAACAGCTAGAATTAACGATAAGGCATATTTTTCAGGTGATCCATCCAAGCTAAAGTTGTAGAAACTGGATAAAAATGTTAAAATTTGTAATATTTGGTATGATGCCTTAAAACTTAAAAATGCAACAACAGAATTTGCAACAACAGAATTGCAACAACAGAATTTTTCCATCTGACGAAACTCGACATCTAAACTAGTTAGAATAAAGAAATTAAATAAAATCAAAAGAAAAAAAATTCTCAGATAATTGAAAATGGAGGGATTTGAGGGAAAAAAATCGATCTCATTTTCGAGTAGGTTTGAATAAAACTCTATCGATTTCGAGGGCAATCATGTCTTCAGAAACAAAACAAAACAACAACAACAACAAACAAACAAACAAACAAACAAACAAAAAAAAAAAAAACACTTTGTTTGCTCCATTAACATAACTAATTCTGTTCTTTAAGTATTCTTTAAATAAAAAATAGAACATAAGAGTGCTGATATAATCTTATTGTCTCTACGCAGTTTATCTAATTCGATGAAACTGAGTGTGCTCTTCAGAAATCTCTCTTAAATTCACGCTTTCCCTTTTTCGACATTCGGGGTTTGGGAACACAGTGTTACGAAAAATATAAAAAAGAAAACTTAAGTGCAGGTGATAGGCCTATGGCTTGCAAATGCTAACAAGGATACAAAGCAAAATTTATGCTACAGCTGCAGTATTGGCAATACAACTTCGAAGCGGGACGCATAGTCAGCCCCGTATAGTCAGAAGCGGGACGTATAGTAGCTATAATCTGCTATCGTTAAAAAGCCTTAATTTTCTCCAAAGGATAAGACTGCAACCTTCAAATTTACTAACGAAACGGTTTTTTCGTGGTATTTCGTACATTTTTTCATATATATAATACATATCTTTTGTACACGTTATTATCTTTTGAAGATTAGGCTAAAATGTTGGACTCCTTTCATTTCATACGTAAGAGACCAAAAGAAAGCAGACAGAAATGAATGGTAATTACATTTTACTTTATTAGCATTTCATTTAAAGTTGGTAATTTCTGTCTGTATGCAGTTTTTCAGTTAAATATTACGTATTTAAGTAAGTTATACGAATATCATATTATGTGTAGCATTTATACTGAATATATAGTTCAGAAAATAATTGCGTCAGTCTTAAATGTTTAGAAAAAGATGCGGAGAATAAAATAAGGCAACGGTTTACAAATCTGCAGTATTCCCTTACAAATTATTTCACGTCTAACATTTAAAACAGTAATATTTCAAATATTTATATTAAGAATAAATGAGTTTAGAAACAGCGCTATGCAGTGTTATAGGAATAAATGTTTAATTTTCGCGAAGTAAATACTGCTTTGAATTATAATAAAGAAGATACTCACGTTACATTTTCTAAAGATGTCCTGAGATCATTACCCATTTTGTGTATGTAATCCCATTGGGGCTTAGATACAGGTGCTCCGACGTTGTCAGCTGTCATCTGGGCTTCATCGAAGAGCCACTGAAACACGAATACAGGACCTGAAACATCATTTAAATTCTTTACATCGAAAATAAAGCAATAAAAAGGACTTTTATAAAATCCCAAAGATAAGGACACAGTCTTTGTAATATCAGGCTACAGTCCTCTCACTTTTTCCTAAAAATAAAGCTAAAATAAGGGTACTCAAATGAAAGAAAAAAACTCTGGTTATTTCCTGAGAAAGAAAGGAAAAAATCTGATGTGTACACCACATGACTTGTACGGAATATTAAATTATACGCATTTTTTATTGCATTTTATTTAAACTTATTAGATTGAATTAAACCTACTTCGCCGACAGCGCATAAACCACAATAGAATAAATGCATTCTTTAAAATTCACTTTGTTTACCATAGCGACACTCTGACGCTAGCTTTACTTAACCGTATTGGTACTTTTCCGTTTTGCCGGCGCAAGCGATAAAGTCGCCAATAATGGTACAACCGATGCCAAACGGAATATTCTCGCTGGTAACCTTTTACGCCTCATTTTCAAAACAAGTCGCAGCTTTTTTATCAGATTGATTGTTTCTTTCAATACTGGCATATAATTACATAGAATTTTTATCAGATAGTTCAGTTTTATGTCTAAAGCCATTTTCGGTAATTAGGTCAATTAGGATACAATCACAGCGCTTACCGGAAGCCGAAAATATAGAAAAGAAAAGTCAAGGGTTAAATTCATCAATTCTAATGAGAATGCATTAGTGAAGTAAAGCACTGCAGTTTTACATAATTTCTGAGTAAGCTATTCGTACGCATTGAAATATTTCTTGCATTTAAAATTGTGTTCCAAATTAAGATTTAACTTGAAATTAATGTAGATAATTACGGAGAGCATTAGATTTTTGTAGAGTAATTTACGTGAGATGAGATCGCTTGGAGTCACGTGATATGAACCGGCGAATTAGGATGTTGAACCATGAAAGCATAGTAAATTCTTAAATTAATGTCTTTTTACAAATTTATTGTCTTTATTTATTGGATTTTTATAAAGTTTTAAGCGATATTAAAATGTTTATGCCTTCAAAAAAAAAAAAAAAATTCTTAGAACTAAAATTTTTTATGTGTATACTGTATGTTGTCGCCAATAAAGTCTGCTTGGCGAGATTTGCGCCGGCGAAACGGAAAAGTACCACAGTATTATATATCATTCATATTATAACTCATAATGCACAAAATTTATATCATTTAAAAAATAGAATTACCTAATCGTTGCCACATGTTCTATTCAAATACTATAATAAAGCTAGAACTATGTATAAAAGAAATTAAGCAAACAAAACAGAAACAGTTTTTCACAGACGATTGAGTATTTCTCATCTAATTAATTCAGTTTCGCGAGAAGGCAAAAATACATAAAAACTCAAAATATCTATATTAAAAATTACGAAGTAAATCTCAAACGCTTATTTCCTCGAAAAAATTCCAGAAACAATTAAGCATGATTTAATTGGCAATATAAAAGAATGCGTTATCTTTGTTGGGTCGAAGCTAAGTTTCTCTAGATTGGCAACAAATCCACTAGTCTCCTGTTTCAAATGTAAACATCAATGGCCGCCATTAAAAACAGACTTAGCGGCAATTAAACAACTTTAAAATTGCTGATAATTCTAAAAATATTGCACACAGATTTACTAAAGGCATAAAATCCTTAACCGGAAGATAAAAAAAACATAATTCAATCATTTTTAAAGCAAAAAATGTACAATTTACAAACATATAAGAGTAAAGAAACTGAGATCACTGAGCTGGGTAATAGAGTGGATATATATAAATATATTTATATACGTTTGGTGGTGCCGATTGCAACCAAAATACGAGGTGCACATCTACATGTTATAGCAGTCCTATATACAAAATTTCAACTTTCTGAGGCTACTCGTTTTTGAGTTATGCGAGATACGTACGTACGCACGTACGTACATACGTTCATACAGACGCCACGAAAAAATTCTCTTCAGAATTAATTTTAAAGCAGTTTTATAATTTTTTTGAAGGAAAAGAGTATTTTATTTTGTCCTTAAGTACAGATATGACGCAAAAACATCGTTAAATTGCATTCGATAGCGGTCAAAATGGATATTTTCGTTGAAATATGCTGCCTGAAACTTTTCGCGATTACAATACTTCCTTTTTACTTCGTACAAGGAAATAAAAAGGCGTGCAAATACAATAGCAAAAAACGACTTTGTTTTAAATTGATTGGGGTAGCTTGGATTTCATGAAGCCATTTTTGATAAACAATATAACTTCATAAAATATTCTACTTAAGAATTTAAAATAAAATTATCATTCTCACAGGAATATACTAAACATTATTTTAAAGCACCATCTCCAAACGTTTTATTTACCTTTGCTAATCCATGATATGGCTAATTCACTGCTAAAGAACGCAATAATTTTATTTATTTATTTTTATTTTACCAACAAGTTCTAATCTAATCGAATAATTTTTCAAAATCCAAATGAAATTAAATTAATTGCAATACAATGTGAAATATAAACACATATTCTGAAAGCTAACATAAAATATTCAGCTGTTTTCACAAAATGAAATGTATTATATTTCAAATACATATCAGTGTTTTATATATACATATGTGATTTAGAATTTCGAGATACGATTAAAGAAGAGAAAATATATATGCAAGAGAAAAATCTTTTTGTATTTCCTCTAAAAAGTAATGGCTTAATCATATACTATTGAGAAAGAGTATCATTATATTGTACCATATAACCCCTCTGTACACTCGAGCATTTTGAGTAAAAATATATTTTGATTGGAGATGAGTGAAAAATGCTGTTTGTTGACCAGCAATATGAACTTCTGCCTACATTCGATCAAATATCCAACGGAAATTTATGAAATGTTGAAACAAATTTACGGCCATAACACTCAATGCCGTACAGAGGCCTTCGAATAGCAATAACAACGTCGAGTAGGCACATATGTGTTTTGTTAAAAACTGGCAGTTCTTGATGCTAGCAGAAATTCAACAACTACAAGTTCATACTAGAACAGTGGTGGCGAACCTTTTTGGGGCTACGTGCCCAAAATTCAACCAAAACTCACTTATTTATAACTAAGTGCAAACACTCCAATTAAATCTGAAAACTAGGATTTGGCTTAGCAAAACAATACACACTTGTCTTGAGACTTAAAAAAAAAAAAACAAGAAGAGAGTTTTCAACGATACAACAAAACTTTTATTACAGGAAATAGATTGGTTTTATTGTTTTATTGTATACATACTATAATTCGTCCAACCTTGGCTCATACTTCGTTCATTTGAACGCAACACATGCAGCACTGTGTTTTGCTATATTGTGAAATTGCATGTTTTTACATTATATTTGTATATTTCATTTAACATATTAAATTATAATTATTCATAAGTTACCTCAAAACGCTTAGATCTATTTAACAACAAAGGTATTAAAACTCACCGGCAGCCTGCAGTAAATTTGAATTCGTTTAGCAAACATTAGCTGCTTCAACTTTGGCGAATTCTTTACCACGCAACAAGTAATATGATTGGTCCAAACAATTGAAACGTCATAAATTGGGTCATTAAACATGTATATCGTTTCTATGGCGATATATGAAAATCTCATATCTAGGTTAGGCCCTATGCCAGTGGCATTATGCAATAAGTAAATAAGTGAAACGTTCAAGAACAGACTAAAACACTTATTTAAATTACATAATACCATTTTATAGTGATTATTGTTTAAGGAAGTAATATTTTAGTCGCATGCCGGCTGATGAGGTTCTGCGTGCCGACTGTGGCATGCGTGCCACAGGTTCGTCATCACTGTACTAGAACAGTAATTCTCAACAGAAGGAAATTTCATAGCTTCAGGGGAGAAACGTCAGTCTTTAATTTATCTGTCAAGTATTTAGTTAAAAGTTTATGAAAATAAAATACAACTTTTATTTAAGTTTTGGTATTTATCACCATTTTCTATGCTCTTTGTTCTTTAATTTATAAAAACAAGTTAAAAAATAATCGAAATTTTAATGAATTTATGTATGCATCTTTCGAGTTTTGGAAAGGACGAGGGGGAATCATCTTCTAGCAATCGTGAGAGAGGTATATGAGGCTAAAAAGGTTGAGAATGACTGTATTAGAGGTATTTAGATATTTTCCGACATTATCAGTGGATCGACAAGTGATTGTGTGTTACATGACAACACTTCCGCTAATCTTGCTCTAGGTTTCCGATTTTTTGCGCGTTTTCCACATTCTCCCTGTGCTGGTACGTCAAATAAATTGTTGTCAGTTTCACCACATTACGAAGATCTGAAAAACACTACATACGTTAAACTGAAAGACTTTCCAAAGAATGGGTTTCTTAAGTTCTTCGAAGATCACTTTATCAACAAAAAAATTTTTACGAAATTTTTAATAATTATAAGATATACATCTTTGAATGTGTACTAATTCTAAGAACTTTGAATTTAACACATGCAGTCTCCGAACGTTTTAATCCTATCGAGTAAATTCATAAACAGAGGAGAATCTCTTCAGTATACATATTTTAAATAATGTTCTGGGAATTAATCGAAAGTAAAACGGATAAGGATTTTTTAGCACATGTTAAAAAGCAAGTGATTTTCCTTAACATATTGTTTCCTTTTCTCTTTCGTGATAATTCAATGAGCTAGGCAAAAACACTTCTCTGTTAAAGTGTTTATTTTCGTAGATTGAAGTGAAATCGTTAGAAAATTACATAAATTAATTTTAAAATTACAGTAATTTAGAAGAGACAAGTATTTCTTGAACATGTTATAAAACAAAAGAATAAAAATGCCGTAATAGTTTAATGATATCTGAAATAACATTTCCGACTTAAATTGTAGTCTAAAATTATTTTGCTGACAATTAATTCTGAATTAATGATGTTAGGTGTTTTCAAAAGTTCATTTGATTGGAAATAAGTGGGAATCACTGAAAGTTGATAACTCTTTTTTTTTTCTTAGAACCTTACAAAT